ATTCTGAGGTAGAGCAGTGAGAGACCTTGCCAGAGACATCAGTAGGCCCACTATTCATTTGAATTTAATACTTCTTGTCTAATAGCAGACACAACTTATTCTTTTTTTTTTTTTTTTTTCTTCATATACATTGATTCAATAAACCATACACATGGGAGTTCAAGTTATGCGCATGCAGCTACATAAGTATTTGTGGAAAAAGGATTGTAACTGGTACCCTCAATTATCAACACTGATTCTGCAGGACTAACTCCCATTGCTCTTATATGCTGTTTAGCTAAATTTGGAACCAGTCTAAACTCTACTGCAACCGGAAGCTTATTAAAACTTAGGCTATCACATTCAATAGAATATAATGGCTGAAGAGAAAGGAGCTAGAACAAAATCTAAGACTGCTATGTCTTATTTAAATGTGAGTTTGCATAATTTTGTCTTGTGTTTAAACCTTATACTGCTTTAGGGTTGGATAATAAAGGAGGTTGGTCAGATTCACATTTTTAATTGCCAGTCATTGAACAGTTTTTATTTTCATGCACTTAGACATTACAAGCATGAGAACAAATATAAACAGACAGATACATAGGTCTTATTGTTTCTTAACATGTTCACCCTGTAGCATATAGATAAACTTAGGACTTTTGAAAATATTGTATTCATTAAGGTGAAATACTATTTTTTTTAAAAAAACAGGTGTATTAGGGATTTTTTTTTTTGAGTGTGAACATTTTCATTGATTAAAGCTCCCACTAAGAGGTATTTCTTAAGAACTACATATTTGGCCAAATATAACTACAACATGCCACTAAAATCTAGAGAAACCAATATAAAAGTCATACATGTACTTGCTAAATATCTACACAAAAGGAATTGTCATTTAGAGGTGGAAGTTTTGCTTTATCTCTTTTAAAATATATAATTATTTCTTATGAATATGTATGTTTACAGTATACTTCATAATATACTGTAATTTACCAGGCAAATTATTACCGCTTCACTATACTTAGCGTAATAGCAAAGATTAACTATGTGTTTGTGGATATATTTTCCAAGAGTTTCAGAATTTTATCCTTGCCATTCACTTTTATATTGCAGCAGCTGGGTGTCTGAAACTTCATGAAATACTTTCATGTTAACATATCCATTTTTTTAGGTTGGATTTTCCTAGGTATAAATTTAAATCTTAACTTAGAATTAAAGTTGATCAAAATTTTGTTATTTAAAACACTTATTTTTAAATAGTTCTCAGAGTATTATTTTTCAAAAAAATACATATATATAAATGCATTTAGATATATATTTTATATATTTTTTAGATGTTATAAAAATAGAATACCATGTGATCCTGACTCAGAAATGATGCCTGGAAATTAAGGGAAGAAGCGCATATAGTTTATTCCAGAATTCAACAAGCTGATAACTGAACCCTGAACATAGAAAAATGCATCCCTATAGAATTCTATTTCAATTAAAAAGTATCCCTTAAAAAAAATTGTTCCGTTTACTTGACACCTGTCAAAAAACTTAGATGACAGGCATCGTTTCTCAAACTATTCCACCTACTAGGATCCAATCAATCTGTCCAATTTACCATTCATAATTTGCATAGTATACTGACTGCTTAAATCCATATTTTATCTTGTATTTTCTCATCATCAACTTTCAGTAATCATCAAAAATTTAAATAAGAATTTTATCATTCCTTTGATGCCATTGGTGCATGAAAAAAAAAAAAGGGGGGGGAAATCTGAGATTCGAATTTTTCATGCCAGTTTTAGACATTTTTTAGCAAAAAGGGAGAGCAAATCAACATTATCTGACTGTATTTTTAAAGTACAGGATAACAAATTTGAAGTTCTTTGAGGAACCACAGAAATAAGAAGGAGGGTAGTCTCATTCAAATCTTCATTTTCTTTTTTCATGAGGGATTTCTGTTGACTTCTTATGTAGATGTCTAGCTGTAGGGGCTGGAAGATTTTGAAAACATGGATACACCTCTAACTCATTTATTACTCAATTGGTTGTTAATTTAAAGAGAGTCAAAGAAATTGTGAGAGCTATTATAAGTACTGAGATCTGAGAACAGATCCGTTTTTGCCATGCATTTTTTGTACTTGTAACATTCACTTATCTTAGCCGTTATGTCTTCATTCTCACCACTAGCCTGTCTGTATACCATATAGAGATTTCATAAGTCTGTTGTTTGTTAGGATGTGCTTGTGTATCTGCATGTTGTAGGACACTATAAACCAGTATATACATGATTTGGAATTAAAAAAAAAACAGTCCAGAAATATAAATCTATGAAAGTGCTGGAATTTGATAGTTCATATTCCTGGTCTAAGTAATTTCTCCCTAGTATAATTTTGCATATTTGTCCTCCAGGGTATATCCTTAAAAGAATTTCAGTTTGACTTTAGATATCTATGTAGTAATAGTCTGTCTATATCTGTCTAAAATAAATTTATTTTAAACAAAACCAAACCTAAATAAATAAATAAATAAATATTAATTAACCCAACAAAAAAGTAAGCTGCCAGAATCTTCTACACCTTAATCCAAAACCTAATACTTCAACTTTGTTTTAAAACCCGTCTTAGGTCATTTGTTACATTAACATTGTCTATGGAGACATTTGACCATCTGGTATCTAAAATTTGCATTTCTGTCCCAAACTACTATACATTTCCATGTAACTAAAACCCAGTCTGACAGACACTCACAGTGAATCAAGTTCTATAAGAAATTACTAGAGTAGCTATATCATTAAAATATCTTATGATTTTTCCAAGATCAACAGAGTCCATTTCACTAAAAAATGAGAACTACATTTCCTTTCCAAGGGTAAATGCGCATATAAAGCACCTCAGTAGTCAACAGAAAGATAAACATTTCAGAAAACTTTAGCAGTCATATGGCAGGCAGTATTGGCTACCAATTACACACAGTTTGAAGACCATGGTAAATTCTGTGATAAATCTGTTACTACCACCAGTGCAGAGTTATGTTCCTATCTGTTGTGGTTTGGGCCTGATCAGCAACCAACCACCGCAGCTAATCACCCTCCCTTCCCCTTCCCCACCTGGGAATGGGGGAGGGGATTAGAGGGGTGAAGGGAGACTCGCAGGCTGAGATAAGAACAGTTTAATAATGGCAATAAAACAAGAACAATAATGATGATAGGGGGAAAACAAAAAGAAATATATAAACAGGTAATGTACAGCGTAATTGCTCACCACCCGCTAACCAATATCCAGCCCGTTCCTGGCCAGCGACCCTGAGATACCAAGATCCCACAATCGCAATCCCGGAAGTGAGAGAGCTCCTTCCCAACCACCCCTCCTCTATATAGTGAGCATGACGTGCCATGATATGGAATATTTCATTGGCCAATTTGGGTCTGGTGTTCTGTCCATGCTCCCTCCCTGTTTCTTGTGCACGGGCAGGACATGGGGAGTCAGAGAGTCCTTGAAGTCTGGGTAGCAGCTGAAAACACCAGTGTGCTATCAGCATTCTTCTCATACCAAACCCAAAGCTAAATCCAAAACACAGCACTCATCTAGTCCCTGAAAAGGAATATTAACTCTATTTCAGCCCAAACCAAGACACTATCTCTGCTCTTTTCTGTTGATTAGAACCATAGCTCAGCAACCCCTTTCAGATTTTTAGACTAATTTAATCCTCATTTAGTTGTTATTGGAAAATCTGCAGGTATGAGCTTTGCTAACCTACTTCAGCTTTCTGCATCTTATTTTTCTGTTGTATTTCTACTGCAAAACTAGATATATAAACAAGCATAGTCCAAAAAGTTAGAGAACCTTTGAAACTATCTTTTGATAACCTTTATATGCAATAAATCCTCCTATCCTCTTCACGGTTTGTCTTTAAGCAGAAAATCACTATATATTTTGTCAGAGAGGTTAATAAAGCTAATATAACAACCTAATGTAAAATATAACCATACTGATTTAAGACACATGATTAGAAATTTGATGTCACAAACTTTAGTCATCAGTGTAACATTTATGATTCAATACCCCTATTGTGTTTGCAGAATTATCTTCTCATCCTGTGTTAGAATCTAAGATGAATGTGTATATTAGAACCTCCTGTATTCACACTGCATAAGTATGCAAGAGCATTTTTAATAAAATTCTTTATATCACCTTTCATTCCATTCTATTACTTTCACATGTATTATACCTAAGCGGAGATCACCTATAGAGATTGAACCTGAAACCTTTAATATGAAGTTTCTTCCATTTGAAATAAAGAAGCTCGATCTGCCAATAACTCTTGCAGATCATATTCTTGTGGTCAAGACATTCAATACAATGAATACAACATAGATACCCAGTGTAAAAGCAAGACCATGTGGCTATCTGGAGCATTAGATTTTAGTTACTTCAGGCATCTGTCTTTCAGCACTGACTGAACAAATGAGTAGTACTGTTATAGGTACAGCCGAAAAAGTTGGTTTGTTCAGTCATAAGTTTAATTCATGATGATGATGCCCTGTTGTGGATCCTATTATTGTTTTACAAATGGAGGGGAAAAAAAAAAAAAAAAAAAAAAAAAAAAAAAGAAGAAAAATTCTCTGTATCTTGTGGTATATTTATATTTCTGTATTGTATTGGGTGTAGGAGTCCAGATCTTGGCAATGGGTGGCTGCAGGAGCCTCTGTGAGCTGGTTCCAGATGGTTCCAACTAATTCAAACAGACCCACTGCAGGGCACAGCTGAGCCCCTCAGCCAAAATGGTGGCACCTCAGGGAAAACATATTTAAGAAAAGGCAAAAAGTGCTGCACAGCAGAGTGCAGAGTTAGGAAAAATAGTGTGAGAAAGAGCCCTGCAAACACCAAGTTCAAACAAGAAAGAGAGGAGGAGGTGTTCTATGAGCTGGAGCAGAAACTCCCTTGCAGCCTGTGGGAGAGACCACAATGGAACCAGTTCATCCTGAAAGACTACAATGTACAGAAGGGCACACACTGGAGCAGGGAAAAACATGAGGAGGAAGGAGCAGCAGAGAGGAACTGTTATGGACTGACCACAGCCCCCATTCCCCATCATCCTGTGTCACTCCAGAGAGTGAGGAGGTCAAGGGATCAGGAATGAAGGAGTGAGGTTGAGCCTGGAAGAAAGGGGCAAAGCCAAAGGTATGTTTAAGTTTTCTCTTTGTCTTTCACCACTCAACTCTCTTTTTAAAAAATGAGCAGAAATTCAAATTAATTTTCCCCAAGTCAAGTCTGTTTGCCTTTGACAGCAATTGGTAAGTGATCCCTAGTCTTTATCTTGACCTATGAGCTTTTCCATCTTATTTCCTCCCCCTTTCCTGTTGAGGAGGAGGAGTAAGACAACAGCTGGGTGTCCATCTGACAGCTGGCCAAGGTCAACACACCATGTGTGTATATAAACACACCATTTTAGGTACACTACTAATAATTTATTTTTAAAACAAGCAAGCAAACAAACAAACAAACAAACAAACAAAATAATTGTTTTCTCCAAGATAATACCATTTTACTTAATGACAAAAGCTCACTGGAATTATGTTATTGTTGTTTTGTTTTGTTTTGTTGTAAGACCGAACTGAACTATTACTATTAAACTAAAATTCTGCAGAAATATCTTGATGATCCTACAGACTTTCTTACACTGTTCTAATGAATGGTGTCTTTCAATCGGAAAAGAAAGATTTGAGGATGGTTTTCCCTACATAAATTTGAAACTTAAATATATCTGTTAGAGTTAAAATGAGATATTTGAGCCAGACTCCCAAGTAGACCAGTATAACTCTCTAGACTTGAATAGAACAGAACTCATTTGTTCTAGATGGGGCCTGACACAAAGTATCTATTTCTAGTTCAAGCTTACCAACTTCACTTTTTTAGAAATTAAAGAATGGAAAGGATAAACATTTCAAAAGTAACTATTACCCTACTAATGGAACAACAACAAAAACTTTACTAAGTCAGGTCAAGTGCAATGAATAATATGATTTAAGTCAAAGTAGCACTAAAAATCAAAATATACCTTAGTATGAACAGTAGTTTGGTTAATAACTAACAAATTAGAATATTGGGATGTAAAGAATGACATTCATTCTTTGAAAATATTCACCACATGGGTGTTCACGTAAAAATGAACGTCGATTTACTGACTATGAATTAATTAAATTATGCTTGAAAATCCACAGCACTGTAATTGCCAATCTAGTTCGCTGCATGACTTTCTCAGTATTACAATACAAAGCGTTCATCCACAGCAGGTAAAATTGTTCTCACAACTTTTTCAGTTACTGAAGCTTCCTATTTTACATTGTTTTGCTCAGGAATCTATCACATCAATTTTGGTTTTTATCTTTCTTACAAGAACTGATGAACCAATGTTTCTTTTAGGATAACAGTAACAGTTAATATATAGTAATGTCTGTACTGATTTTTTCCAGCTGATCTTCAATTAGTACTACTCTCCAATTTAACTTTAGAACTGTAGACTTCTAGAAAGCGAAACAGAACAGAGATAGAAAACAGCAGTAAAGTCAGGCATATTAGTTGCAAGGCTCATAATGCTGTGTCTGTCATGCACAAATACATCTTTTGTTTTTTTTCCTGAAAATATGAAGACAAAGCTAAAAGGTGTTAGGACAGTGTCTTGGTCGTGTTCTAGGTAAAATGACTGTAAAAGTGTTATTTCTGTTTGTGACAAGGAAGGCAAACACTGAAACCATGGTGGGAAATAGACAGCTACTTGTTAGTTTAGTTCTTCAACACCAGAAGTTTGTGAACACAATCCAGGAGTTGGAACTGTGAGACTAACTGCTAGACTGAGTTCAGAAAGATGGTCCCTAGATTCTGGCCTTGTCCCTAAGAGTGTTTTTTTTCTTAGGGTTTTTTTCTTCATCTTAAAATAAGAAACAATTGTCACAGAAAATAAGTACTGATGAGAGAATTTCAAAGTACAACTCTTCTTCCCTGTGTTCAGATTCATCCCATTCATTATTGCCACCCTATACAAAAGCCTGCCTGTGCTGGATATAGAGAAAGGTAAATGCAATTATGCTCCTGAATTCTGGGAGACTGTGTCTTGCTTCCATATGTGCCTTCCTGAGCCAACAGGCCAAAAGACAATTTCTTAAAAGAACAGGAGAGTGCATTCCTTTCCTTTTTGTTTCCCTCCTCCTCTATGGCATTTGTGTACTACTCTAAAAGAGGAAGTTGGAAAAAATCTTCCTTGACAGACAGGCTTTGTACTCAGAAACTCAGGTAAATATTCTGATCACCGAGCTTTTATATGAATATGAGGACTGATCTCTTTCTTCTGACCTCTTTAATAAAAGCAACTATGCTTTCACCATTTAGTAAGACCCATTCTATTTAACTGCACATGGAGTTTCTTGTAAGAAGCCCTAGTAGCTGAAGTGCTTCTGATTAGATGCAAAAATTACTAGTTTCTGAAATCTGATGGGATTTCATCATCATGTGTGCATAAACTACAAACTCTCAAAAGAAGTACCAGCTCTGTACACTTAGTTTTCAGATTTGTATCTTTCAACTCTAGGTTTTCAGCTGAAGGACCTAATCCAAGTAATCTAAATCCTTTCTTAGATCTGGCCATGTTTTTGCACAATATACTGTTAAGCACTTTTGTGCAGTTAGGGCTAAACTTGCCAGCCTATATGTCTTGAAACTTCGTAAAGTCAGAGTTCAAACTGAAATAATGCCCATCCTCAATTTCCCTTTTTTTGGCAGGCCACTTATATGATTCTGGGATCAACACAAAGTGCTGGCTGACAGCCAAAGAACAATCAATCAAACTGCCAGTTCTGATAACTAATATAACAGTAGAGATCTAGAGGAGTTGAGGTGTAATTGCACAGAGAGTTATCAGGAGTAAATACAGGCGTCTACACTAAAGACACTGAAGTTAACTGAGTCATTCTAACTTCTCCTTACAGTCAATGAAAAGCTTGCATATTTAATGTAAAATGCATCTTATACTTATGCATACATATTAAATGAGTCAGAAAAGTGACTGTGAAAAAGTCTATTTCTCTCTGGTTTAGACAATTGCCACCATCTATACCTGACCAGAATAAGCTCCCAAAATGGCTTTGTCAAATCAATTGATAATTAAAAAGTCCCATATTTTGACATAGACAACCTGTTTACTACCAAGTCAGTTATCTTCTTTTTGCAGGAAAGCAACAGATAGAATGGCTGTGATGCAGTTCCGAACTGACCTAAACTAGTAAGAATTCTCTGATCCTTCTCAGCATTAAGTCTTTGAATAGCACAGAGATTCCAAAGGTCTTTATGTGACCTTAACTCTTGACATTTTTTCTTCACTCCATGTTTCAGTGCCAATACCTCTGAACACAATATTTTCTTCATCTAGTAACATACTTCACAAAAAATCATGAATAATCAAGAATTATCTATGATGTTAAAATAAGAAAGTAGTTTCTGAAAGGGTGAATTCATGGTTTTTGTGAATACCTTCCACTGTTCCTCAGGAAGCATATCAGTCCTAGGAGTTGGAAGATAACTGGAGACTGGTTTCTAGGTTTATTAAAATATTCATCATTCTCCATCACAGATTAGATCAGGAAAATAGAAAAAAAAAATATTTGCAGATTTTTAAAGCTATTTTACACATGAAAAATATTATTATTTTATTATTATTGAAAACACAAAATTAATAGTTTTGCCACATGTCTTTAGTCAAAAAAAGTTAAAATAAAATGTTAAATAAAATATCTCTGGCACAAACAAACATTTGTATGTGTTTTCCATAAAAAACAAAGCAATTCTGTTCTCTGAAAATTATAGTAGTCTTAATCTAGTTATGGTTGAAATGAATATGAAAATACAAATATATTAAAATATTTTGCTATGATATATATATTGTAAATTAATTGCTTAAAATCACTCCAAAGCATGTCTTCTTAAATTAAATAATTTACAAGTCTTCTCAATGTTCTAAATAAAAACATGTAATTCTTATTCCATATTCACATAAATAGTCTGCATAATTGTTCTTTTAGCATGGTTACTGCATTGGTTGATTTGACTATTATTAAATATGTATGAATTTCCTGCTATTCCCTAAGGGTCTCAGAAACAAGATGAATCTCAAGAGACTGGTTTAAAGTTTAAATTTAAAGAAGAAAATCCTTACAGATCTAAGCTTCTTTGAATCTATTTTCAATTGTTAAAGTCTAATTTTCACCTCAAGCAAATATTTAATAAATAATTTTTACTTGAAGATTTACAAGCAGTGCCAAGATTAAGGAAACTATTTGTGTATTTTTTTTCAAGGTTTTAGACAGTTCTACATCCACCCAAACAATAAGTAGAACATGATTGATCTTAACCATATGGACTTTTTCCAACATTATTCACACTGATGAACTAAAATTTTCCAATCCAACTGACCAAGTAACTAAGTTTCAACATTAGTATTGGAAAATGCAATTCTTATAACACTGTCCTCCAGAAATTGCTGATATCCTAGCTAGCTGCAGGTAAAAACTTAAAATAGCTATCAATAATAACATTTAAATAACACAAGTAGTATTTTATTCATTCTGATAAGGAGTTAATAATTTGTTATTCATGAAAGGATCTTGTGAACTACAGTACAGGTACTGTCATTGATGGACTTGACTCTGTCACTATTACAAATGGTGAGTTTATACAGAAGTCAATGGTTTTGCAAGTATAACATCCTGTTGAAAGAATCATGTATTTTTTTAAGTCTGATAACCTTCAGTATACAGTATATATGTGTTATTATATTATTTCCTCATGCATTCTCAAGAGTGCCTTAATGTAGTTTTAAATACTGTTCATGCTGAAGCCACAACTGCATATGTATATAACTTTTTCCTTCTACAGTTTATAGGATTATATAATTGATAACAACACTATGTAGAATTTCCTGGGAACATTAAAATGGCTCCTGATAATTTCTTAACAAAGACCTAATCTTCCACTCTTCGAGTACACTGTAGGCGTATGATGTAGAGTGGTAAGAATCTTCATGACAAGAGCACCAGATAAGAAGTTGGTCCTGTGTAGCCTGTTAGAGCACTGTATCACTGCTGGTAGGGGAACTCATAGCTGAGGTTGTTCTAAGCTGCTTCTTAAATGAG